AAGGTTGAAATCGACGAGGACCGTTCCCGAGACATCATTTGGAAGCGCAAGTTTTATCTGAAGTATAACCCAATCAGTCGAGGGTAATGCGAGTCTCCCTCGACGAGCGTTGTTTATTTATATTTGATATGTCTAAATAGGTTTTTTATGCGTCATTGCTCTTCTTTGTGGACGATCAAGCGTGTTCTACAAAGAATTCTTCTCAGTGCTCACTCGTCATGCTCATCGCCTCAAAATGAAATTTCGTCCTGTAAAACTCACAAGCGACTCCGAACTTGCTCTTATCAAAACGGTGACGGAAGAAGTAAATTCGTTTCTATTTCATTTCCAATGAACTCTTCATATGGTTTTTCAGTTTCCTAATGTACATCATATTGGATGTTACTTCCATTTTACAAATGCGGTTTACCGATAAATTCAAAATCTTCGTCTGACCAACATTTATCGTGATGATCAACATGTACGTTCAACAGCACGCAAGCTCATGGCTCTTCCTCTCATTCCTCTGAATTACATGGAAGAGGCTTTTGATAAAATTGAAAATGAAGCACCTGATTCAATGGCACCTTTAATTCCCTCGACTGTAAGGAGGGTCATATGAAATAAAATTGTTTGTTTGTTTGTTTGTGACAAAAAACGTGGGCGACGGTGGGCCACTGCGCGCTAAGTGGCTGAAGTTGCGCGCGTGTGCGGCCAGTGTTGGCCGAAGGTCGGGGATGTGGCCAATAGTGTGTGCAGGGTGGCACGATGTGACCCCTCATGGTCACGGGTGTGGGTGATAATGGGCGACGGTGGGCTACTGCGCGCTAAGTGGCCCAAGGTGGGCGAAGGTGGCGCAAGGTGGGCGAAGGTGGCCCAAGGTGGGCGAAGGTGGGGGAAGGTGACACAAGGTGGGAGAAGGTGGCCAATGGTGGGTGAAGGTGGGCGAAGGTGGGAATGTTGGAAAGATTTAGCGGCGTATCTGCCAGGCTATGGTGAAGCGCTTGATGGATGTTTAATAGAGTTGTATGACAGGAAGGTCATCAAACTGTGGAGAGTCAATGGTATGGTGTTGCGTAACTGGAATGTCGTCGGTGAAGTTAGTACTAGATTCGAATAAAGGCTTTCCATATTTGTTGAGGGATGCGTTTCAATTCGTTTTTCAAGTAGAACTCGGCGAGCTGTATCTAGTGGTATACTCAGTTGCGACCCAGTCCCAACTTTGGATTTTCGGATCAGTACCGCCGTTACTGGTAGCCTAAGAATGAAAACTCGAGTTCTAGAAAAACTGAGCATACCACTAGATAGAGCTCGTTGAATTCTACGTGAAACACTGATTGGAACAACTGGAACGTATTCCTAAACAAATATGGAAAGCTTTTACTCGAATATGGTGGTAACTTCAGCAACGTGCTTGAATGGCATTTGTGGTGGGTTTTTGTGATTGCCGTGATTTGTGTCGTGATTTGAGGAGCGCTCAGGTGGATGGTTTCGTAGTCCGTTGAATCGCGTAAGATTAGTGCTTATCGTTTTGGATTTGCCCTCATTCGGCGTTTTGTGTTGGTTACAGTATAATTTAATACGAGAATAAATAAAAGTGTACCGTTTAGTTAGAGATGCGCCCGTAGTAATGTTGGTGTATCCCTCTCTAGACGTCCGTCCTTTGGGACATATTATTGCATGCTTTTGTGATACATAATTGCATCCTTCGGCAGATACTTTCGTCTAATCTTTTTCTGTTTCGCCAAATTTTGCTCGTGGCTGCTAGTATTTATGACATAATGTTATGAGCTCTCAACAAAAAATACGTTTTCTGCTCACACCAATTTTACAAAAAACTAGCTATTTTGCTTTCGAAAGTTAATAAATAGTGACACACAAATATTTTACTCATTTCATCGTATATCAAGTTGCTAGATCGATTTGTCCCACTAATAGCAGACGCAGAAAGTATGTGTGTTCCACAGTCGAGGGTGAAGT